CTCAGCGCATTACAGCAGCACCACTTCCGCTACTAGGGTCCCAGACCCGCTCAGGCACGTGATGAAATGATCATGTCCTCTGTCCGAAGATGAATAGCCTTGTTTTGTGTTCCGAAAGATTTTTAGGCTTGTGTCTGAATCGTTTCCTGTGTTAGAAATTCTGCGAAATGTTGTTGTTTGTTGTTGTTTCTCAAATTAGCTCTAAAAAAGAAAGATTGGGAGCCCGTGGTCTCACAACCCGGCATACACGACCCCACGAAGAAACAGAAAAAAATAGGATACAAAAACCACTCGGAAGAGAAACAAAATGATAGAAAGAAAGACCAGCTNCCGGCCTGGATGAGGGCCTGGGCGTAGGACAGGGGTCGGTCTGAGCGCTTCCGCTTGCTCCAGCCGATACACCGTGTCAGGAACTGTGTGGTGTTGGGAAGAAAGAGAGAGTTCGGTTGTCCTCGTGGAACGAGATAACTGAACGTGTGAGGGGTTATCAAGCCACCAACAGCACGTATGAGGGGATGTTATGCTTCCAAGAGTTTAGTTGCCAATCGTGCAACGAAAAGAGTATGAGGGGCTTTTATCACACCAAAAGCAGTACGGTAAAAAAAAAAAAAAAATGATGCGTAACTTTGTTTGTGGGACTACCACGTCACCACCGACACAACAGCAAAGCGTGGACATATTACGCATTTGAAGGACAGTCAGAATTCTTTACGCAAGCACGAAGGATTTCATGGCAAGTTTGTAGGAGATGTTGGTTAGAATTTCGCTGGAGAGAACAGCAATAATATGCGTGGCAGGACCTCGGTGAAAAGCGAGACTTGACCCAAGACTGACGTTTTCCGACTATCGCAGAGAAAAATAGTCAGAGGCATCACTCAGCCAAGAAGCGAGGTTGACCCAGAAACTAAATTCCCGACTATATCGTAGAGGACAGCAGTAATAGCCAGTACTCAGCATGACGCGGAGCAAAATACACCAAATGCGTTCCTCCGAAGAGATCACTCAAGACCATTTCAGTGGCAGAACACGAACTTTGAAGTTACACGGCGTGAGCAGAAGAGAAATTTTGGATGTCCAACTGTATTTTATTTGTTTTGGTACAGCAGTCACCTGCGCAGAACCGGGGGGAGTGTTGTGGAATGTGATTCTCCTCAGGAGTGCTGTTTTATAAGGAACTGATTGTGCCACCATCTTCCCTTTCGAACACGCGACCTGCCCTCCACCGCTGCCGAGTCAATCCTTCTGGAGCGACAATTGTGGTCTCCCCCAACGAAGGCGGACGATTTGCTGACGATGCTCCAGCCGCGGCCAGCCGGACGAAGAGCACAGAAGGCGACCGCGGCGGAGGCGAGCGAAAATCCCCGGGGGAGAAACAATGGCAGGGGCAGTGGTCCAATGCGCTGGGGTTTATGGGTGGAAAAGTAGGCGCATTGAGGTTCATTTTGAGTTTGATTTAGTTTGAGATTTGGCGTTTTTTTTGTTTGATTTAAGCTTGGGTTTGGTTTTTCAGATCTGATTGAAGTGTGGATGAGAGGGTCAGAAGTACTGTTTTGATTTTCGGGACCTCTCGTATTGTTTTTCGGCTTGACTCCGACCCCTTCACAAAGCAGGGGGGCGGATCCTCGGAGCAGGGGGGCACGTTATATTCTTTCAAACGAAATGGCGTTGCTGACATTTCTTCACCGAACATTAATGAAATATTTTGAGTATTTCAGGGAGATCGTACTTCTTCGCGTTTTACCTGCGGACGAAGGTTTGGTGGATGAATGCAATAATTTGTCTTAGGATTGCATACATCTTGGTAATGGTAGGATATCTAGCTCCGGAGCATGACGATGCATACGAGCAGGGGGGCTATTCGATATACTCGTAGCATAGCATGCAGGTGGTAAGAGTGTTGAAGTTGTGTTGGGATTGTTCTAGGTTGTTTTGGAGGAGTTTTGGTTGTGTTGGTTTTTCTTGATTGTTTTGGAGAGATGGTTAAGAGGAATTTGGTTTTTCTCGGAGCATGACGATGCATACGAGTAAGGGGGCTATTAGATATATTGGGGGTACTCGTAGCATAGCATGACGGTTGAGATGTTAAGTACGTACGTACGAAAATTGCAGTGATGAGATGCGGAGGAACAGG